ACAGCGAGAATTGTTAAGAATTTTATGAGAATTGCAGGGTCTATCAAAGAACGTTCTATAGAGAACTTTTAGAGTAAAGGGGTTATTCGTGGAAAATAATCTGCCCTATGTGCCATAACAGTCCCATTATCATTTTTGTTGAAAATGATTTATTCCTTGTAACAAATTGTCAAGTACCATCATTTTACAATTTACACGAAAAAAGTCTTACTTTGTTAAGAAAATGTCACGAAAAATACCAAAACTATGTTGTCCTATCCATAAGAGCCCACTGAGAAAACAATCTTCAAAAGCGTTTTTCTCAGCTAGCTGTTTTAATGAATGGGGCAGCTATGCTTAAAAGCTTTATCTATTATACCAAATGACATACAATTTCAGTGAAGAATGTTTAGTCCATAACGTAATGTTGTACAGTCTCAAATTTAAAATCAGCGGTTATGCAAGGACATTCCTTCGTCATAGTTGTTGTTGAATATTGGAACCAAACCATTTTGTTTTGACGTAGGACTACGTCTGTGATTTCTATATGGGGGTACACTTTGTGAAAACCGAAAATGGAACATTAGAGTGATGCAAAATTTGAAATTTTCGCTCCACAATACTTAAACGATTCCAAATCGAATCCTGACTAACCTCTCAAAATTTGAACCCATTTGGTGAGAAACTGAGATGGCACAAACCATTTGAAGTTTGTATGAGAATTACTATGGTAAAACCAAGATTTTTGTTCACGTCTATCTAATAATTTACCATATCGGTCTGCTTCAAAAGCTTTCAACTTTACTTGTAGGATATTTTCCCAGCTACAACTTTGCTGAAGACCACTTTTTGATTAAATGCAAGGATCGAAAGTTATTAATGGTTCAATGCACTGATGTCCTATGATCATGCTCAATCAACTGCTCAGCAGGCAACATTGGTGTTTCTGGGGCGTTGAATAGGACACAAAAATTATGGCTACTATGTCACACTGCAAAATACAGTGTTGCCTACAGAGCAGCTGCTTGATCATGTCATAAGTTTACCAATCTCTTAAATAATTAATAACTATTTCCTGTCTCGTTTTACATAGAAACAATCTTCAGCAAAGTTGTAGCTGAGAAAATTTTCTATAAGAATCGCTATCGAAGTGTTTTGCAGCTCAATATGGAAAAAGACTAGAAGGCAATGAACAAAAAGTTGAGATTTCCCATAGTAATTTACATGTAAACTTCAAATGGTTTGTGCGAAGTCTGTTTCTAACCAAATGAGTTGTAACTTTTGGAGGCTAATCACGACCCGATTTGAAACCATTTAAGCACTGTGGAGCGAAAAAGTCAAATTTTGCATCAGTCTAATGGAACATGTAGCGAAATTATGAAAGATTTTGAACGTTAGTAACTCAGCTGCCTCTGGACCAATTTCAATAATTTTATCACCAATCGATCAGAAATATTTCTACGCATTCGCTAAAATTAAGACTATATAATTTTTCAAAATGTCACTATTGAAAATTGCACGAATGTTCAACTGTTGCTATGATAATTAAAATTATCACCGATTGCTTGCGAAAAGCGATTTCCCTAGCACAGATTTCAAAGTTGAATTCCATCCGGTCTCACCAAACGGTGTTTATTCAATCGCCGCGTGGTGAGTGGTGGTGTTCTCAACCGCTGATCGGATTCAGTTCCAATCACCGTGTGTGGTGGTGTCCGGTCGTCGGCATTAGCAGCAGCAGCAGTGCTTTCGGCGAGTGGCGTTGAACATTGTTCTCCAGTACACAACGAAAGGCTACCTGCAATAAGCGAGCTGCAGCCCACATGAGCATCCATAGAAGGAGGAAGAAGCCGCACCGCTCATTATCCGAATCAGTAGCTCTTCGTGAGTCGCTGTGGGTCATCTAAGCCAAGTGCGTCACCCTCATTCCAAACAACATACAGCTCGCCAGCCTCATCTATGTTGAACACCTTAATAGCTCTGCATTACTCAACCATCATGACAAGACGGTCCTTTTCAAGACCACCATAAATTTGTTAAAGAGTATTTTTTGACCCATAGGGCTGTCCCTTGTGAGCAAGTCCTACGTCAACTGTTCGTACAACCCCATTACAAGATTGTGCCGAAGGTTTGCCGATGGATGTGCACAAGCTGTGCCGAATCTACTTTCGGCACACTGTGCTGATTGACTTGCCCCTTTGTTGGTACCCTTATTTATGCACTTAGATTAACATTTAAAGCTCCTCCTTTTTTACACACTCGAAATAAAACATACTTTCTAAGCCCCGTCCCATTCCTAAAAACGACGGGAAATCTTGTTAGGGGTGGGGCTTAGAAAGTATGTTTGCGCCGAGTATGCAAAAAATAAGGGACTTCGAATTTTGATCTAAATGCATATATAGAGGTGCAATATCAGATACTCTATTTTGTAGTCTATGAAGGGGATTTCTAGGATTGTTGACTGACTGCACTGTCCTCTGTTAACAACTAACTAAAAGCAGTTTATGCGTAATTTCTGACAGATGTCGCCACAAGGAACAGTAGCGATTTCTGATGGCTAACCATTTCCTTTCCTTTAATTAGTTGTCGACCAGTACCAAACTTTACATTAGATCACACGGCAATCACAAACGCATTTCGTATAGTGGAACTAAACCAATTGAATTTAGTTTTATGAGGACAAAGGGCAGCTGGGAAAGAATTTGTTACTTGTATTTAATGCACTAAAAATGGTTCGGTCGCCTTCAGTAAATTCGGAACGAGCATTCTCTGTATCTGGGAGCATTGAATCGGATATTCGGTCTTCCTTTAACAATGGTTCTGTTACATATGTTTTGTGTTTTGAAAGGCTGTTATCCGAGCAAGATCTAATTTTTGTTTTGTTGTTTGCAACTATTCCTATTTGTTCTTTTCCAAACTTATAAAATATAGGTATTTAAATTATAAAAATAACGTTAACCCTCTCCTTCCTACTATACGATAACCATAACGTTTCGGTTCAAGAAATATCGTAAAAAGTATCAAAACTAGGTTGTCCCATCAATAAGGCCGTTGCCATGATGGGAGCGAAGAGGCGCGCTAAGCGTTCTATTAGGTTTTGCACCGTCGGGATTAACCTCAATCTGATGACAGTTCAGTGGTACTGTTTACGAGGACTTAGTCGTTTTTTTTCTTGGGTAGATTTTCTCGATAATTTTTCAGACTGCAGTGAGATGTAAACCACACTTCTGCATTGTCCACGAGCAACATCCTTTCATCGCGCTGGTCCTCGACAATTTTCAAGTTAAAGTTCGGTAATTTTAGAATATTTAATTTCGAAAAAACGACTAAGTGCTTGTAAACAGTACCACTGAACTGTCAAAAAGGTTCAGCCTATTAACACTGATTTCATTCGTGACGTCACGCTGCAGAACCTAATACAAAATAATTCCTATTATTGATATTATTCCTTACATTTAATTTCACGCTTCGCGCGCCTCTTCGCTCTCACTATGGTACCGGCATAAGATTCTACGGAGAAATACATTTTCAGCATTGTTTTTCTCGGCTTGCTGTTTTTCTAGATGGGACTGATATGTTTTTATGGGCAGTCCACTGAACTGAAGTTCGTGAGTCTAATAGCGAATTCGTTTATTATTCAGTTCCAACCTGGATCGGGTATCAAGATTATAGTCGCTATATTCATAGTCTGGCGGATAGAATTTCGGTCTATCAAAAAGCGGAACAAATTCAATATATTGTAGACCAACAATTGAAAAGGTACTATCATCTTTTATAAACAAAACGTTGATTATTATTTCCTCGCCAATGGAAGGTAAATTACCAGCATCATCGGATAGAGGAAACTTTCCACAACCAAAAGATAGTGTTAGTTTGTGTAGGCGAGCCTTGAGTCACGAGAAAACGAATTACGAAATTTAGTTCGCCAAAGCTGATGTGCACTTTTCTGTTGTTGGTCGTGATTTGCTCGATTGGTTCCGCTATATGACAGCTCAATTGGTTCCCGAGATTCTATCCGCCAGACTATGAATATAGCGACTATAATCAAGATTGGGTCTGCTTGTTTTCTGACAACCGTCAGTTTGCTTGTTTGTTTTTAAAACCTAGCTCAGGTTGAGGTTCGTACTGACAAAAAGTTCGGTTTCGCACTGGGTTGGAACTGGTTCCAACCCCGATAATAAACGAATTCGCTATAAGTTGAGACTGCCGACGTCAAAATCTCCACTGGCGACATAGGACATTCAAGTGTTACCAGCGAAAACTTCGTATCAGCTTTCAGGCGCATTTACACTAAGGAAAAAAAAACGTTTGTGGCACGTTAAATCGTTAGAAAATATGCTATTTCGGGTAAACTAATATCTAAAACCTGGAAAACTCTGGGAATTTTATTTAGCAAAATAAGTAGACACCCTATCGATCATTGTAGTAAGCGAAATAATCTCTAGGTAGGGTTTTGATCTCATTTACGTCCAACTAAGCATAACCCGTCCTTTACGGGTATGAACAAAACATTGAATGATTCTACTATTGATGACCTTTAAATTTATTTACCTTTCCATACGGTACTGTTGGATTTGATATGGAGTCACAAATTGTTGTTCACAATTGAATCGAACATTGCTTCTTGATTCCAAATTATTCCTACAAGTTTCAATTCCGTCCAAACGCATTGAAACGCCATTAGATTTTCTTCGTCCTACAGATGAAGGCAGAAAAAAAATGAATCGCTAGGAGTGCTTCTTTAGTTTTTGAGAACAATGGGTGTAAATATTCATACTATGCGCTCTAATACGCTTTCTGTTGTAGCTTATGAACTAACGCGTATTATTGATTTGTGCACGGTGAAATCATTGATATTATCGATGTTTTCTGCTCGTTAGAACGGAAAGGGGCGATTACGACGAAGTAGCGCTCTACGCTATACCGCGAGAACTAGAAAGCGAACAAATGCGACTGTACGCAGCAAATGCTATCGATCGACTGAGCATGAAATGTGTATTAATTAACCACACTTTCTTTTATAGGTCGCTCAACGGCAGCAAATGCTTAAGCAAAAACAAATGAATTCTTCGGCAGCCGGGACAGGTCAATCTCCCAATAGCTCGGTGGTGGTAACATCGAATAATCCAAACAATTTGACAAACATAAAAGTTGGTAATTCAACAATCTCCATCAAACCTGGTACCCTTCCAACGAATACGGTGATAACGGCAACGAATCCTCACGAGATGAATCCACCACCATTGGCGCCGTTGAGTCAGATGCCAGGCGGTATGATTAAGCCCTTAACAACCAATAAGATGTTGGTAGATTTGTTGGACAAGAAAACTAATGATCCACCCGTCTTTGCGATCGGGGAGACTACCGTGAAACGCAAGAGTGATGCCGATGCTGCAGAACCGCCAGCTAAGATGATTAACACAGAAGAAATGAAAGTTACTTCAAAGGCCGCTGATTTGTACGCGGAATTGGCTGGGTCCATTCTAGAAGGTGAAGACATGGAAGATATTGAAATGAAACCGAAAGAGGAGCAACCGAAAATGAAAGTACAACCAGCCCCAGCTCAGCAGGTCATCAACATGGCAGTCCCAATGCAACGGCAGATAATTATGGCCCCTAATAACCCACAATCGATGATGCTATCACCCGGTAGTTCTGGACAGCACTTGACTGCTCAGACGACAGCTACTATCAAAACTGATACCGGCTATCAAACAGTGCCGGTCATTCTGCAACACAATCAAAATCAAATTCAAATACAAAAATCTTCCCCTGTCATGACTCCCACCGTCATTTCAAATCCTCAACAAACTACACAATACATTCTGGCAACGAACCAACAGGGGCAGACATACGTTGTAGCTCAGCAACCGCAACCACAGAACCAGATGCAACAAACCGTTCTACTAACACAGAACTCTCAAACTGGAACTCCACAGAAAACCATCATTATTCTGCAACAACAACCTACGCAGGGTAACAATTCCCAAATGCAGACCCACCAAATTGTACAATCTCAACAGCACACTCCGCAGAAAGTGTTTGTCAACCAGCAGGGCCAGCAAATAATTATGACCCAAGTACCCCGCCAAATGCAGCATCAGACTCAGATCGTTGAGAAGAAACCAATATACATTACTACCAACCAACAAGGACAAGCAATCAGCATCGAAGGACCTTCGCAACAAATGATGAAAAGTAATCAACAACCGACACAGATAATTCAGACGCATCTTGGCCAGCAGCACCATCAACATCAACAAACTACCAGTCAGCAGATACAACAAATCATTCAACAAGGAGGTTCTCAAACATTCCAATTCATTCAACAACCACAGCAACAGACACAATCTCAACCAACACAGCAAATTATGATTCAACAGCAAGGATCTCAACAACAATCATCACAACAGCAACAACAAACGCAACAACTTCAACCGCAGATCATATCTCAGCAAATAATTCAACCCGCACCGCAACAACAGCCGCAGATCGTACAAAAAATCATTCAGCAAAAACTTGTACAAGCACCACAGCAACAGCAGCAGCAGCAGCAGATCATAACGATGCAGAAGCAGCCGATGTCTATAGCATCAAGCATTTCCCATAGCCCCGCGACAATAACAGTCACAAAACAAACGGCTACCGGATCGTCTCAACAGGTTGGCCAACTTCCTACCAAAACGATCATAGTCCAACAGCAACCCACGGTTGGAGGAACACCTCAGAAACAAATAATTCAAGTTGTTCAGCAAAAGATTGCATCTTCTGCATCACAACCAACTGTTGTACAAAAGACCGCCATGCAATCGCAACTTCCTGCGAAGGCATCTATTCCGCAAGTACAACCCTCCGTTGGGTACACTACTACTTCAGCAAGCATGAGTACAGCTACTTCAACAGCTTATTCAACCACATCTACCTTGATGAGTATTGCTGCTTCAACTGAAACTACAGCTACAATTGCCTCCATAGTGCCACCTTCGGCAGGTTTCACTTCTGTTTCAACTACCGCTACAGCTTCCGCAATCTCTACATTCACATCATCAAACACCGCTCCGACCACTACTTCAACAGCGATTACTCAGCCAACGGCAACAATACCCGTGTCCGGTTCCAGCAGTACCATTCAAATGATACCGGCAATGGACCCATCGAAAGCAATCGACGAAGATGTCGATCCGAGTTGGCCGTGGGTGTGTGATTGGCGTGGGTGCCCTCGGAAGAAATATGCTTCCGCTAACGAGGTGTACATCCATGCCTGCGCTGTTCACTGTCCGGAAGCAATCGAATCTTCGGCCGATATTTACTGTCAGTGGGGTCCCGGTCCCAACCTATGCGACAATTTACCCCGGAAACGTTTCTCTTTAATGACGCACATTTTCGATCGGCACTGCACCAGCGAGGTAAGATAGCTACTGGCATAGCGTCAAACATAATCAAGTTACAATCCATATATTCCTACAGTCCTTCAAGACGGCAGTTCAGCGCCGTATATCGAACGCCTCAACCATCGCCCAACAGCCGGTGCAAGCATATCCGGTGACTCTGGTGCGGCAATCGGCAGGGACTCCTACTCCTGGTTCATCAGCATCATCGACAACGTCTGAAACGTCCAGCAGTTCATCTACGCTGCCACAAGGTCCAGGACATCTATCCTCTGCTGGACCCGCGGCGCTACATGCCATCAAAAGGCACGCGATCGATTGGATCAATGCTAAAGAATTCCAGGTAACGATTGCGAAATAATTTCCACTTCAAGCAGCATCACTTAACCCATTTAACGATATACTTTTCACAGGATGACATCGAAGGACCGGTGACGAAAAGTATTCGGCTGACGTCGGCTTTGATTTTAAGAAATTTAGTTGTCTACAATAGTAGCGCTCGAAGGTAAGAAACTCGTATGATAGCTTGAAAGCACTTTTCCTATTTTGTTTTGTTATTGTTGCTACTTTTAGGGCTCTACGGGCGTACGAGCCTCACCTGGCTGCAGTTGCAATGAACAATGTCGAATCAAGTCGCACCATCTCCCAGGTATTATTCGAAATGAATGACACGACCTAATTTTTATGTAAGGGATACTGTATGTTACAAAAAGTGAAAATCTATATTGTAGGTATTTTAAGTTCAGTTGTAAAAGTTTAAGCCTATCAGAATTGGCAGTTTTTAAAGTGTTACTAAACCACATACATTTTTTCCAATAAAGCACTTGTCAAAAGCAAATTTCATAAATGTTTCAAATAACTGCTATCACATTCTTTCGTTATTTCCAAATTTATATTTTCAGACGAACGGTAATCTTGATAGCACAAGAAAAGAAAGCCAAATTCTTCAGAGAGGTGTTGAACCGGTACTACAAGGTAAGAGAATTGGTTGTCATTTGAACTAAAATTAGACCTTGACTGGTCCGGAACAATTCTCACTGAAACCTCTAAAACCAGATCGTCATTTTTGCAATGTCTGAGATCCCTTGGAAATCTTCACTAGATTTTGTTTCTATAATTTTCTTTAAATTATCCTTGATTCTCCTCAACACACTTTTCAGACTTCCCCTGAATTAGTTTGGGATTCTCTCTGGTATTCTCTAATCATTTTCGTCATAATATCACAGACAAACAGACGTACCTCTTCATTCTAAATCATCAATCACGCCTTTAACGATTGATTTGAACATTATAATTTCCGCGAACTGCTCACCGCAGCATCGGATCAGTTTGATGTTTCATGTATTCTGTTTATCTTGCATGCAACATAGTTTGCGACATAGAGAGCAATTGCAATTGTTTGAGCTTGTTTTCCGCGAGAAGCTCGAGAGATGTCGTTACTGAGGTCCTATTTTGAGTTACGTCTATTTGTCTGTTTGTAATACTGTGAGATATCTTTAAAGTATTATGGAAGAACTCATGGATGTCATTCTACTATTCTCTTAGAATTTTTATTAATTTTCAAAAGAATTTAATAGCAATCTTAGACTATCTGATATATATAAAAATGGATTGGAAATTATGAATATGTATAGACATGTGTATTTACGTGGGATACTGTTCAAGTTGTAACCAGTTGGTTACAATCCGTGGATTTTCGTTTGTATGAGTTGTTGTTGTTTGGAAAATTCACGTATTTTAATTTAAAAGACAGAAGGCAACACACAGCAGCGAGAGGGTTAGTACCGCTGCAAAAACACTCGAACGATACTAAAGGGAGGCTAAAAATGGAGAATGATCGGCAAAAGGCACGCGAGTTTTTTTTTTTTTTTTTTTTCTTTATTATAGAGATTTTTAGCCATAGGCTAGTTCATCTCTTAAGAGGCATGCGAGTGGCCATGTTGTGAAAGAAAAAACCTTCTAATTGGAGAAGTAACCAGGCGTCCGTGTAGACCAGTTGAGTGTTAAGTGTAGTGCATATACAATTAACCCCCCCTTGTGGGGTTTGGGCTGGAAAGCCTACCTCCGTTCAGGTCCTCTTGTGCTTTTGGTACATTTCGTACACCTCGTACCGTAAATAAAACGGTCTTACACGGCTCGGCTCGGAAGTCAAGGTGGCTTCCGAGTCTAATAGTAAATGATCCTCGATCGTCCGTCAGGGACGATTCTCTCAGACCAGTGGCCTTAATTGCCAAGGAGGGTCCCGTCTCGGCTCGACCAAGGTGGCCATGCCACGGTCAGCCGATGCAGTCAACGACGGAAGACGCCTGCCAGCCAAACGAGCCAGCAACGCCTGCTGAACCGTATGTGGCTGATGAACGTCGCCAGATTCGCCATTCTCCCAAAGCTGCAACAACACTGTCTGCAGCCCGCGCCGCAAGTTTCCGGCCAGGAAACTTGTGCAGGAGTAGCCGTGTCGGCCAACGCTAGCGTCGCGACGCCGTAGGAGATCCCGCTGCAGCAGTGAGTACAGTGCAAATTTTTAAACCCTCGCATACACGCCACATATATGTGAAAACCCACACCCACACGCCACAGAATAGGGCAAATAAATGTGTTATAAAATGAGAATATTCCTGTGTTTCATACTTTGTCCGCGTAGCCCCTCCGAATACCCAGTAACATGCCGGCCCTGCGACACAGTTCAGGGGTCTCATGCTACTGAGCTAGTTACCGGGAGTGTCTTGTCATGCCATAGTCACAAAGTCATGATTGATTTAGTATTTTATCTGATGACGACGATTATGGTCGCACCCCTTACTTACACCCCTTAAGGTTTGAGTTAGACGATTTATCTTTAAGATAATTAGGTATAACTCTTATGAGGTGTTTACACTTATGCTATTTCACTAGCGCTAATGAGCTAGCTGCTAGCAAAAAAGTTCACTAGTATAATGTAAACAGGGCATCAGCGTCTACCAGCATGAGATTACCAGCATTGCCGATGTGCTGTCAAGCATTGATTGGGAAAACATACTCGATTCTGATAACGTCGAAACCGCTGCTCAAACTTTTTCACATGTCTTGGCTTATGTCATTGACAGACACGTACCTAAGAGCGTTCACCAGATTGCATCGCACCTCCCTTGGCAGACGAACGAATTGAAGAAGCTGAAATCGATCAAGAGAGCCGCGTTGAGGAAATTCACTAACAGGCCAATTCTGCGCGGCGTGTGAGGTGAGGTGACACGCTCTCACTTGTGAAGTGACAATTGTCACCTCGGGTGAGGTGACTCTCCGTGCAAATCAAATGGAGAGTCACCTCACCCGAGGTGACAATTGTCACTTCACCATCACTTCACTGTCACTTCACCTCACACGCCGCGCAGAATAGCCCTGTAAATATCAAACGATGTCACTGAAACGTCACTACGTTAAGCTCAATTATCAGTTCAAGCGAGTCAGCCGTCAATGCTACTTGCATTATCTGCGAGGGATTCAAAGGAAATTTAAGTCGCACCCGAAGTCTTTCTGGAAGTACGTGAAGGAGCAGCGCAGAAAGTCCGGTCTACCATCATCCATGATATTGAACGGCGAAGTCGCTTCCACTCCACAGGAAGTCTGCCGCTTGTTCTCCAACAAGTTTGCAAGTGTCTTCTCTGACGAGAGCTTAACCAACGAATACGTGACTCTAGCAGCAAGCAACGTTCCACTTTCCGGTCAAGCTCTGGGTGGAATTGTTGTCAACGCTGAAGTTATAACAACTGCCGCACTAAAACTAAAGCCTTCTATCAACCCTGGACCGGATGGTGTCCCTTCAGTCTTTCTGAAGAAGCATATCGCTAACTTACTGTCACCGCTACAACATCTGTTCCGATTGTCCATATCGTGTGGCATTTTTCCATCGAACTGGAAATTTGCGCATATGTTCCCTGTGTATAAAAAGGGTAGTAAACGGAACGTGGATAATTATCGTGGAATTACATCGTTGTGCGCAATTTCGAAGTTATTCGAGTTAATCATCATAGAGCCTCTGCTCTCCCATTGCAAGCAGTATCTAAGTGAAGATCAACATGGCTTCACCTCTGGTCGATCTACTATCACGAATCTACTGTGTCTGACATCGTACATCACGCAAAGTATGGTTGAAAGGTCACAAACAGACGTCATCTACACTGACTTGTCTGCTGCCTTCGATAAGATAAATCACGCCATCGCGTTGGCCAAATTGGATAGACTTGGGATTAGCGGAAATCTCTTGAGATGGTTTTGCTCATACCTCGCCGATCGTCAGTTGGTGGTAGCCCATGGTGACTGCCAGTCCAACATTTTCGCAGCTACGTCAGGAATACCTCAAGAAAGTCATCTGGGACCGTTGATTTTCTTACTCTACTTCAATGACGTGAATTTAGTTATCGAAGGTCAACGACTATCGTATGCAGACGATCTCAAAATCTACTTACGGATCTGCTCGATCGATGATTGTCAATTCCTCCTACGTCAGTTTGAAGCGTTTGCCACCTGGTGCCATTTGAACCGAATGACAGTAAATCCTGCGAAGTGTTCAGTCATCACTTTTACCCGAAAGAAAGAGCCAGTTATTTTTCACTATGCTCTCCGGGACACCATTATTGAACGTGTTAGCCATGTAAAAGATCTAGATGTCATCCTGGACTCTCAACTTACATATAAGCAACACATCTCGTACGTCGTCGACAAGTCGTCAAGGACAATGGGCTTTGTCTTCAGAACAGCTAAGGATTTCTCCGACATCCATTTCCTCAAGTCACTGTATTGTTCCCTGGTACGTTCCATTCTAGAATATTGTTCTGTGGTTTGGAGTACGAACTACAACAATCGTACTGAGAGAGTCGAGTCCGTTCAACACCTGCGATACGCGTTGAGAATGTTACCTTGGAGAGACTCGTTTCATTTGCTCAGCTATGAAAGTCGCTGCCAGCTGATCGACTTGGAGCCTCTTCGCACCAGAAGAGATACTTCAAAAGCCCTGCTTGTCGCGGCAGAATTGATTGCATGGCAATCTTCGAGCAAGTAAACATTAACGTCCAACCCCGAATGCTTCGTAACAATGTTATGCTGAGAATGTCACTACGTAGGACAAACTATGCAATCAACGGTGCAATGGCGGACTGCAGCGAGTATTCCGGAGAACTTCGAGATTAGGGCGTAATTGCTTTTGTAAACAAACACGGCAATCACTGATTTGTCGCTAATTAAAGCTCAATCTCGAAAACTAGCAACACACGCAGGTAGAGGAATGACTCCTCTATCATTTAGTATAGTTCGTTTGCAAGATTGAGCTTTTATTCGCCAGCAGTCGGTGATTAAAGTGTTTGTTTACAAAAGCAATTACGCCCAAAGCTCAAAGTTCTCCGGATTTAACCGAGTTTCATCAGTATTCGATTTTCACCTGCCACGACTAACACTTCGGAGACGTTTCTCTTCATTCTTCTCCAGAAATGGAAACAGTCATTGATCATGTTTTAATGTTTTGTAGTTTTAACTTATGATTTTAATTTTAATTTTAAGTTAAACCATCATTGGGACCATATCGAGTCTGACAAATAAATAAATAAATAAATAGGCAACTGAAATTCGTGCTAGTTGTCGAGTACACTAGCGCTAGCAAATCCGCACAGATATAAACACCCCATTAACAGCAGAAGGATATAAAACGTCGCGAGTGCGAATTAATCTTCGCGATTATCGGCCGTCGTTGACCCCCTAGGTAAGTGCATATCCTTTTTTACCATACATGGCTGGAGTAATTCGGGTGAGACCCTTCCTTTTTGTCTGTTTGATTTTATTTTAAACAGGATTGGAATTTAAATCGACTAGCTTGGCGGCTGCCGCTTTTGCTTACTGAGTAGAAGATCGTGGGCCAACTCCCAAGCTCTTCCAAAACCAAACAATTACTATGGTCGCATCGCCTGTTTAAGCGAATCCTGACCCATCATTTACACATATATCCTAACCTCTAATGTCGTTTTTGTTTTTGCGGTGTAGCTACACCGGTGCTACACCGCCGAATACCGAAACAATTCAGGGTGTATCTATCGGTTGCACCTTTGCTTACATACAAATGATGATGAGCTGTCAATGACTCGCGCTTATTGCTGGTTACACTACACCGGTGTAGTATTGCAAAAACGAAAACGACATAAGTAAAAGTATGGACGTCTGTCAAAATGCACTGCTTTGCTCGGTTGGAACAATTTTTTTTTCAGTTTTGTGGTGACAGTCGTCCATACTTTTACTAGAGTGCTTTAATCTATGCAACTCCGTAGCATCTATGGCGGCGTCGATGAGTCGCTGCCCTCTCTTTTAGTAGATGTTACACTAACAATTTCCTTCCTTATGGACGTGGCCGGCAATGGTAATTGTCATGCTTTTCTTGTTCTGATCTTTGATTGGAGAACTATTCATTCCCAAATAGTTTTCCTTAAGCAATCAGAATTACTCCGTTACAAACGCAACGCAAGTTAGGGATCGGTTAATCGGATATGGTTTTTTTCACAACACCTGCTCGATTGCGCTGCTGAACAATTAACACTCCGAACACGATACCTCCGGTAAAATGTGTAACGGAAAACTTGCAATATTTGAAAAATCACAGCTTAGCCATTTATTAACGAATTTCGAATATTGACATTTGAAACTACATACTTTAAAGATTTATTCGGTATCGAGAGTGCCAAAGAGACTCGAGAGTGTCCCCGATACTCGAAGAACGCACATCATTCGATCCATCGGCGCCTTATCCAATCGCGTTAGTTTATCCGGAAATCCGTACTCGTGCATAATCTGCCATAGCTGATCTCGATCGATTGTGTCGTATGCGGATTTGAAATTGATGAACAAATGATGTGTGGGCACGTTGTATTTGCGGCACTTCTGCAGAACCTACCGAATCGCGAAAATTTGGTCCGTGGTAGCGCGGGCACCCATTAATCCCGCCTGGTATTGCCCCACGAACTCTTTTGCACATGGTGACAGGCGGCGGCATTGAATTTGGGAGAGTACCTTGTAGGCGGCGCTCAGCAGTGTGATGGCGCGGTAGTTGCAGCAATCTAACTTGTCGCCCTTTTTGTAGACTGGGCATACGGTAATATCTCCTCCTCTCAAATCTTAAAAATTACCCAGTTCAGCGCTCTACCCGAGCAAAGTCGGTTAACAAAATGAAAGCAAATCGATATTAAAGTGTGCAGTTCCTATCATAATGAAAACTCATTTTGATTTCAAATGTTGCGACATAAGTCTGATATCATATTGTGCTTTCATTATGCAGTCAAGACGTTTTAAATGAAAGCAACTTAACTTGAAGTTCTGCTGTTTACGTCTTGTTTAAAATTTAATTGAAATTCATCTGTCGTTGAACTAATGATTATCGTTTATCTGATTTGTTTAACACATTTTAGGTCATTCGTGACTTGCCCACGGTGAGATTGGAGCCTAAGTCTTTCAGCTTGAGAAACATGAATGGTAACCATTTACTCTAGGCCCGTATTCAGTTAAACATTATGAATGCAAAATCAGTAATCAAATTGATTTCATTGAAAGCAGGATTAGTTTTCCTTTTGCTTCAACAGTGTAAAATTTTGCTCTCATTTTTGCTGTGTTAACCGTTAAGTCAACCAAAATGAGATCAACTGGAGTATTCAAAATAAGTTACATCATAACAGCAAATTTTGATTTCAATTTGATCTTCAGCTTTGCTCGCAAAGTCCAGCATCAAAATGACAGCAAAATGGAATCAAGTTTTGATATCAACATCAAACTGAAATCATAATTTGATTTCAGTTTACGCAATTGACAAATTTGATACCAAATTTTGTTTTCATTTGCTCTTCATTTTCATTTCATTTTCATTTTATGATGTGCAAGGGGGTCAGGGGCCATGTCACCGATGTGAATATTCACACCATCCATAATACACCAGGGAAGGGGAGAGGAGTGAGCAACACAGCATCTTTACCCATGGGGGTTAAAAAAGTTCTGCGAGGTATACTTATGGTAAACCAGCTGCTCAGGGATTGTAGAAAGGAAAGGGTTGGGTAGGTTTTGTATGAAAAGCGAATAAGTTATTATCGTATCGTTGAAAAATGACCTCGATTACATCACACCGTCAATGAAAAAGAAATTAAAAGAGATCGAAAGAGATTATTAGTGAGTTTTAAACTGTTACCTATTAGAGCTACATTTGTAAAATTATCTCCCTGTACTGAACAGCCATCTCTCTCGTCCTCCCGCCGGCCGCCTAAACGTCTGAAGGAGTGTGACGTCAAACTCCGTCATCCTTTCAATCAGCCGGAGAACGAAAGAGCGTGCAATGAGCGTCAGCGACCCTAATAAAAAGTGGGGGGAACACCATACATGAACGATACCACAAATCGTGCCACCATACCACATATTGTTGGGATGATAACTGGAATAGGTTGTAAGGCACTCCTTATGGTTATCGTTCATGCGGGTGTTTCAAAGAAATGGTCATCTTATCAACCCTCTGTGCGACCCAACCCGTGCAATGTATTTAATGTTGAGAGCCTTGTGTGCTTTATCATGAGTGGTCACGGATCCGGCAATCTTCACATGACTATGCGTCCCGGTGACGACGCTTACGATCTAGCCGGTTTACAATAGGTTTTATACAAGAGTACTAGAATAGATCGGAGTATACTTACAGTTTTCGACGTTCCCATGTACTCCTTGTTTACCTTCAATACTACTTCCTTCTCTTGTTGTATTGTGTTTTTGGATATGCCACTTCCATCATCCCTCTGACATAAGATAATGGATCCTCGCTCCGGAATGTCTTCAAAACTGGGGGGGGGGATTAAAATCGCTCCTCGTGCACAATTCTTCCAGATTACCGAAAGAGCGCCTGGTGCGATTGGTCTCACCCGATATTCTTGAAATGCTTGACATTTTGAATAAAACATTGCCATTTCCAGACTTCGTGTTGTTAGTTTTCTTGTGCTTAATGCTTGATTTGTCATTCGCTTCGTGTATCTAAGAATTGACTCTATAAATAGATAAAAAAAAAAACAAAAACAAACACAACGCTTCCCGCCCACAAGCTGAAGACCGAGTGCAGAATCTTTGTGATGATACTTTCCAAACGTGCATATCCATAGAAATAAATCCAATTCAATAAAGGATTGATTTCCACTGCGACTAAATCCAGCATTCCTACTAAAACATCAAATGCTGTGCTTAATCATTTATTATTAGTACAGAGCAATAAACAATGTACGGTGATGATTAATCTGTTAATATGCTTTTATAAGCGGGTTCAAATGCACTTTTAGTAAGCATCAACACTGATCTGGCAACACTAGTGTGCATTTTTCCAATGTGGTAAAGATCCAGATCAGCCCTGGGACCTGGTAGCCTAATTAAACTACCTCAAGGTTTTGCCAAAGCCCAGGGAATTTTGTTTTCATTTGCTCTTCAAAAATATATTGTTGCGGGTTTGTTTTCATAGCCTTGGCATAACATCAAATGGAATACTTGTTTTGTTATCAACGGGAAAAATTGATATCAAATTAAGTTTCCAGTTTGCTCTCACTGATAGTAGAAATAGTTTTCAATGTGATGTCACAGGAAGATTTGTTTGCTCTCAATTTTGATATTTTAACCGTTAAAACAACAAAAACGACAGCAACCTGAGTAATCATTATCAGCGAAATCACAACATCAAATTTAGATTTTAATTTGATCTCAGACTTTGCTCGGGGATTGTGTCAGGTTTCGCACTGGTCCCAACCCATATAGTAAAAAAAATCGCTTTTAGAAAGGCCCTAGACATAAAGCCAAAATTCGCTTAACCTCAATGCCTCACATTGAAACCAAATATGTTCTGCAGGACCTTATCTGTTAATGTCTTACCATAGTTTTTATGTGTTTGTGTGATACTGGACTCTGAGTACAGAAAAAAATCTTTTGACAGGGTTTTGTGTATTTTCCCCCAACAGTCGGTTTGTTTTTTGAATCAATTTTGTACTATTTTCCCTATAACAACAACACTATAAATCTGGGCCTAAACAAACAAAAACAATCAGCTAATAAATTTATAAAACTAGATAACCGTCTTTCCTTAAAAATGCGCCCTCAAAAAATGCTACTCGAGTTGACTTCATTCGAATGCGAATTTGGTTCTTAATGAATATAATGATGTGATATTGTCTCCTACAGCCAAGAACTGCCGACGCATTCTAATAAAAGTAAATTTATAATAAGTTTCATTCTCTCCTACTTCTGATACTAAATTTACAAAGGTTTTAGTTGTTTTTTGATTTTTAGTTCCACTTAATTAAATATAGGCTTTTTTCGTTCTATCTTAAGTATGCTGTTTTAGCTTCAAGCAACAAGGCATTGTTTTTAACATTCTTCTCAATTGATAGAATTTGGAAGATACACATTCTCTCTCTCTCTCGTTTTGTTTTGCAATAAAAATGAATACAAATAAATATTCTTCTGTTCACACGATATTTTACTTTTATAGTATTAAAAAAAAAACTTTTGTTTGAGCGCTCGCGTTTTCCTCTTTGCTTTCGTGCATACATCTTTCCTGTGTAGCCGCAGTTCTTTTTTTTTCTGTATACCTAAGTTCTCATGCATCAATCGAAAATGAAATAGTTTCTTGCTTTACTAGTACACTGCTTGATGAGTATGCCAATTCCATGATTTGTTCAGGTTGTGTGCTCTTGTATGGGTAATCGACTTTATTGCATTGCTCTACACTTCGTCCGGTGCTAGGTTCGTGTTGGTGTAGTGGCTACCACCGTCGCCATGCTGCTCATCGTGAGTAGTTCCGGTTTGGTTCGTCCCAACGATCGTGGGTGAAGGCGTCGAGGTGATGAGTGGGGCAGAATCGGTTGCATCGGTTGCACCCCGATCTGCCATGGCTTTCATGGTGGCCTCTAGGGAGCGGATGCGATTTTCGTGCTTTACGATGATTGCCTTCAGTTTCCTGAACTCGTCCTCGAATTTGGTGCGCAGATCAGTCAGTGCTTGTTCCTGTTGGAGAAAGAGAAGATGATAGCTTAGATACACTGCGATTCATTTGGAGTATTCGAGAATACGCTTACTGCAACTCCACTGATGATCACCGTTTCAGACTGTTGACTGTTGGTGTTGGCTGGTGAGGTGGATTGCGTCGTTCCGTTTGCAGCGGTTGCTCCATTGGATGTTGCGCTAGATGCTGTTGTCGTCGCTGTTGCACCCGCTACCGGGCCGCTCTTTGGTCCACGAGGTGGCATCTTGTCTAGCACGTTTGACTTCTTGGTTACCGTTAGTGTGGTGCTCTGGGACTGCGAAACGTATCCACCCTTTTCAACGAAAACACGATCCTATTGAGCGGTTTACATACCATGTTCTTGCACTAATAATACTACAAGGTGCCTTACAAACTAAATATGTGTTATTTGGATTCGTATAGAATGAACAATATGTTTGACTGTTCAGTGATGCTTGTGTAGTGAATGTATAAGTAATCGTTTATCGACATGCACAGAAAACGGAAACAATTTATTGTAGATGCTTAATAAGTATAAGTTGAAAAGCAAAATTTTGTTTTGCATTGTTAGTTCGGTCATTCCGTGGACATTTCGCATATTTTAATAGAAAAATGGCATGACAGTTATTGAAAGACAAGCACACATGTGAATGATTAAATAACATCAAAGATCTTTGAGCAACATTTTCACTGTGTAGTTATAACTTCTAGTGCGTAGTGAATATTTAAATTTTGTGACTCAGAGAAAGTGAGCGATGGTCATCTCTGCGTGAACGACCGAATTTTTTGTTTGTTCTTTAATTTTCTTGTCATTTACCGTAGGATCAGCGATGCCATGTATCGTGATTTTTGTACACGATAAAAGTTGGAACTCCCTTATATATTTTGATACCGTAAGGTTTAACTATTTTACTATTTTTTGAGCTATCATACTATCAAATTGGGCAAGGGGGTCTCAACTTTTTTCGTTTACAAAATCAGGATACATGGCATCGTTGCGTAGGATACAAACGATGTGCATTAGGGGAACGAATTGAATGGTGCAGCGCTCTCGCACTAAGCCTGCGCTTTAGTCAGTACTATCATTCACCTTAATTTTAATCGATGAAATTATGTGACATGCATCACTGGTATACAAATGTGTACACGTATTAGCAGCAGATGCAAGCGCATCTTCTGGTCGGTAATACTAGAAAATGAAAGCAGCACAAAAAGGAGATAGCAGTTGCACTCAAGGGGGATTAAAAAAAAAACAAACACACAAAATCATCAACACTTTTCGATGGGGAAGCATCATGCAGGTATAACTGAAAGACAAGCCATTTAACACATATTTTCGTTTGAATTTAATTCAAGAAAATTATTCAGCATGGGGCAGCGTGAATGCAATTGATTTTATGAAGTAGTATTATTGAATGCTGTTATTTACCATTAACGTGAAAAAGGAGATTTGTAGCTGTTTTCCGCAGAACAGGACCAAGACTCGGGCAGAGAAAGTAAAGAAATCAGACACGGTTATCCATCTGATTTCTAGACTATTCAGATATCATAAGCTTCTGAGGATGAAAAGCATTTCCCAGAAGAATGGTTATGATGTTGTCCTGTCCTATTCATGCGTAGTCTGAACTGTGGTAAACGATGATGAATGCATAACTCCTATAACTTACTTTTAGCGACACCAGCTGTGGATCCGCATCCGACCCGGAGATCCAATCTTCCGCCGATATGGACGCTTCATCAGCGAGCGTATCCGGGTAGAGATCCTCCTGGAAGAGTTCACTCTTTCGAGGCACAATCATTGAGATCACCTGGCATAGGCCACTATTGTTGAGCCGGTAGAATCGCGCTAGCTCGCATGTGCTGACATCACATCCTCGCTTGGGCATCAAACCGATGGCTCGTTGGGAATCGGGTGTCTGGAACTGATTGATGTAATGCACAAATGGTTGCTCTGGTGTCACTTCAAAGTAACGGATAACCGAGTCGCCTTTGCCGCACAGGTAGATCAGGTTCGTGTCCGGGTCGTAGAGTGGGAACATCACACCGTTCGATGTGTCCAGGTCTACCATCACAATAGGATCACCTAAAGCGTCCGGCGCTCGTAGAGAATACTGTCGTTCCGAGGATCGATTGAAACCAGTCGTAAAAATAAGGCCATGTCGTAAAAATATTGCCCGTGTTGCTTTCGACCCTTCATGTGCAATGGCTTCAGCTAGCATTTCACCCGAACGGGGATTGAGTATGCGAATTTTTTTATCTTTACATGTAGTCACTAGCTGGGACCCATCCCAGTTCCAGCATGCACTGTAGATCGTATCCGGATGACATTCGATTCGCACCAGCACTTCACCCGTGCCGACGTTCCAGATTACGATGAGGTTGTCTGATCCAGCCGTGAGCAGGACGTTCAACGCCGAAGGGTGCCATAACACAAGGCCTACCCTGCGCTGGTGATACACCAGATCTACAACTGGCTCGGTAATTGTCCGGCTCAGTCCACCATCCGGTATCTGCCACACCTGCAATGAACAAATTGGTAAATGGTTAGTTTGTTTGTCAATGGGTATATTAATGGACACTGTGAACTGTGGCATTATCTCGCGCTATTCGCATAACAGTCCCATGTTCTGTGGAATTCCTATCTACATAGGACTGTTATGAGAAATGGCGGCAGTATACCCATTGATCAAATATGGTTTAAAAAACAAGATCAATGCTGAGTGCCAGGACCATATTGGTCAAATCCCTAAGACTTAATTAAAATTCCACCATATTTTCATTGTGTGGTCAGGACCACTATGATCACACCCCGATATCCTGTTACCTGAGGAAGTGGCAAGATTGTGACTTGTACTAAAACCTATATTAAGAAAGAGAGAGGGTGTTTATGGTTTTGAAGGAAATGAGTTCATCCCTGACTGATTTTTAAGCAATACAATTACTGTGAGAGAGAGAGAGAGAGAGAGAGATTTCAAGAACAGGAACTGTGCCTGTCTACCCGATATAATTTGTTTTTTTTTTTATATTTTTGTTCCACAAGTTTTATTCATTTTCGGTTGTGGAAATTCGGAAAAGTTTTGGTAGAACTTTGCGTAATTTCTCGGTAGTCGTGCCTTGTCCACTTCCAAAACATTTCGAACGACATAACAGAGGGATTACAAATTTCTTTTTAATTCCACTTCCTTAATTGGTTATCCTTGACTGATACGGTTATTTCGTCTACATGTGCAGACATCTTCAGTGCCCTGTACTAATACTCAACTAATACAGAAAAAATCGAAATCGAAGTTACGAACTGCGATTCCCATATAAATATTTGAAATATCATAGTAAATTTATTAATATTTTTCATGTTAAAATCGGTTGCATTGAAGCTTGCATGTTATGTTATATCAGCAAAAAATATGGCAATTCGAAAAACAGAACTGTAACTTAATCTCTGGACGATTTAATTTAAGGGTATGACTGATATGCGATTACTTTGCTTGATTGGACAAACTGACTTGATGTTGTTTTCACATTTTTCATGATCATAGTATGTAGTTTTATCACATAATATGAAAGTAGATGCCAATCGATAGTCGATAGCATTGTTATCTCAATATTTGGCGACAATCCATATGGGACTGCTATGCGATTATTGGCAGTGTAGAAGTCCGCACATTGTAGACGACATACGCGCATCTGTCAAGGATAAGCAATTAACGTTTTGGAAATAAATTAAAATTACTAATCCTTCTCTCTTTACACAGTTATTCCACTATGGATCAGGAAAACCTATTTCTTCTTCTAGGCTTTTTACGCTTCTTTAACGAGGCACAGTTATTAACTCTCAGAGTACTACCAAAGCCTGCCAACTGCTTCTCGGCAACGGGACAGTCATGCTGTGTCACAGCATCGACACGCGGTTTACAGGCTTGGTACTCTGGCTGTTCGTTGAAAGCTTTCTATGTCAACCAATGCATGAATTTGCATATTTTGGGGTAAGTACAAAGATACTCTATGCCCTGGGAAGTCGAGAAATTTTCAAACCCGTCTAGTTTTCTTGACCGGGCCGTGAACCGAACCCGCCGCATCCGGCTTGGTGCCGGATGATACCGTGCTTTTACCTACTAGACTACGCTATCTGAGGTCTGAACATATCATGCGGCACCCTAATTGATATATTTAAGAACTCAACAAAAGTTCAATGGCAGTCAAAAATTCGTCAAGCTTCGTATACAATTTGGACTTCTACATCAACACATGTCAGGCAGCCTTCAGGTTCAATTGGTTAAACTTGGTGAGTTCGTTCGATTTTGTAAATTTTTATCTTTTCAAACCAGTAACGTTGGGAGATCTACCACCGAACCCTAGTCATGACAACTTCAAACTAGGGAATCAGGATTTTCCAGTAATCGAATGATCACATTTTAGTCCTTGTTACTTTTGACTTGACAATAGTGACAAGACTCGGGTAGTGACCACCGCGCCGTTATGTAAATTTCAAATCAAAAATATTGTTTATGTTCATAGATTTCACATGATCTTTTTTCCCTTTGTCCTTCTCCTTTTCCTTTCCCTCTTCTCTCTTCAGAAAGTGAGTAATGGCGCTATAGCCATAAGTCATAAAAGGCTAGGACAAGAGTTAGTGCTCATGCCTCAACCGTCAGAAGAAAATGGAGCATCACTTAGCCCTTTCTAGCCTTGATGCTTCCACCGACTAACCAATCATATAATTACCAAAATCGGAAGGTACGGTACGAAATCCATTTATTGGATTCTGAAGCATCGTGTTTAAATCTTCGATTTAAACAGGCCCGATGTTTTCTGAATCATCTTGCCCCATAAATGCTGCACAGTAGGCCTGGCCGTTTTGATATGTGCGACGCATCTTCAATGTGAAACATATATTGAATAGATAAGAAACATGATGTTGGCATTTCAGTACAGGGGAGGTTACTTGGGGAATGCTGAGGAGATTTCCTAAGGAAAAGAAGTAATACCACCGACGAACCGACGTACCAGCTCATAGAAGCTGCATTCAAATTCTTGCCCAAGACGCCATATTTAAAATACGTTAAACACTACCGCATTTTCTCATTCGATCGCTTCATATCGTGAGCAAGGACACGAACACACGTAAAATGTATATTGACTTTGGTTTGCGCCTCGTTTGAAAGATCTGATCGCCCATTTGACAGACAGAATTGCTCATTTGAAAAATCGAATTGCGGACAAACATAATGCTTCAGTGGCATGTCGTTTAATCGGTGGTAATACTAGCTATGTATATATATCCAAGCAGAATTCTCAAAGGTTTTGAAGAATTTTAACATCATTTGAGGAAAAATTAATTGAAATCATGAGGAGAATTCCAACGAAATTCAGTGGATAATTCCAGGGCTACAAAGTCGGAACAGTGCATTTTTGGTAGCCCGGAGTCACAGCTAATACTGTTTTAGTGATTAAACAGTAAGAATACCTCTGATTTGGACCATAGATACTACAAAAGTGCCCTCGACTCCGACCCAGAATTCAGAGGGAAAACGGAAAATAATTTCTTTGAAATACTTTTGAATTTTCCTAGGAAATAACAAGATTTCTGATAACAAATCTAACAAAGGAATTCTGAATCTAATGATAGTTTGATAGGAATTCTAAGGCAATCTCCAATTTTAAGAGTTTGAAGGGCATTATGAGAAAAATTCCAAGTGAGTTGTATGAAGGATATTTAAAACCAGAGGGATTTCTAGGGATTTTTTTTAAAGATAATTTGAAGGTTAATTTTGAGAGAATATTTGGGGAATACGGAATGAACTCGTAACCAATTTTCAAGGGTATTTCAATGAATCTGTGGGAGCATTCCAAGCAAAATTTTGAAGGATTTTAAGCGATCAGTGAGGAGTTCCTAGAAAGGTTGCATGATAATTCAGAGGTTATTTCCCATATAATACTGAGAAGAAATCCATAATTGTTTTGAACCATTCAACCGTAAGGTTGCCATTCACTGCTTGATCTTCTTTTACATCTATACTTTGCATGCTTTTCATTCGGGGGCTACTTTGGACACATTCGAATCTGTTGAACCAAATCAAGTAGATTTAAGAATCGATGCGAATGCTACTGGGTCTGCAGTATTATCGATCATAAGAAACCCCAAGGAAATATTATTAAGCGCTTTTCAGAACTAAAGGGTGTACCGTTTAAAATCCGCACACACTAAAATTGCTCTAACTTTTGATCCGTTGGGTAAAATTAATTGAAATTTTGCATAGACATAGTTTAATGTGTATTGTTTACACTCTATGAGTTGATTTCATCAGGTACGAAAAAAGTTTTCAACATGGCGACGAAAGAACAGTGCGTGCGCGAAACAGTTTGCAAGAGTACTTTGAGAATAAGGATCGCATCGTGCCATCGGAAAAAAAAGTTGGGAATCGTGAATTCTACGGTGTCTGGCATCATAAAACGTTCGAAGAACGTCTGACTGTTGATCGGAAGCGAAGATCCGAAAAAAAAGCCGTCAGGTCAACGAGAACGATCACAAACGCGTGATTGGGGCCTTTAAACGGAAACCGAACGCCTCAGCTCGAGATGTGGCTAAAAAGTTGCATGTGAGCTTGACTTTCGTGCAGAATACCAAAACTCGAGCTGGGCTACGTACGTTTAAGGTTCAGAAGTTCCCAAACCGTGACGAGAAACAGAATACGGTCGAAAGACCATAAGTTAACGAAACCACACTGCTACGTAATGGATGACTAGACATATGTGAAGGCGGACTTCAACCAGAGTCCAGGAAACCTGTATGTGACTACCAAGGATAAGTGTGATGTTCCCGAGAACCTCCGGACACAGAAGATGTCGAAGTTCGCCAAGAAGTTCTTAATTTGGCAAGCGATTTGTACTTGCGGTAAGCGGAGTACACATTTCGTTACCGCAAGCACCAGGTGTATTTGGAAGAGTGTCTCCAAAAGCGGCTGCTCCCTCTCCTGAAGGCTCATGACGGTCCGACGATCTTCTGGCCGCATTTGGCATCATGCCACTACACGAAGGACGTGCTAGAGTGGTATAAGGCGAATGATGTCGATTTCGTGCCGAAGGATCTGAACCCCTCAAAAACTCCGGAACTGCGCCCAATAGAAAATTACTGGGCCATTAAGAAGGAGCACCTTCTAAAACGACTTAAAGTGGTGAAGAATGTAGAAAAAATAAAGAAAGCATGGATTAATATGCAAAAAATTGTCGATTCTGAGGTCGTGCAGAACCTTATGGCTGGGGTTAAGGCCAAGGTTCGCGCATTCGAATATAAAGGATTAGTATTTACTTCATACGAACATGTTAAAGTTCGCCTTCACACAAAAAAGTGTCGAGAGAAACCCCGTTATACGGTAATTATTTTTGTAAATGATTGAACAAAAATTAATATTTTTGTACAACATTTAATTCGATTGATTTTTATTGAAATAATTTGCGAATTTGTAGAAAAATATTTATGCTAAATATATAGTTAGCAGGGACAGCTCTCTTGAGAACGGTGAATAGCGAAGTAATTAAACAATAGTTAATAGCATTGAAATTTTTGAAAATTTTATTGCTTCGAGATCGCGATCTTCTAAGTTCTAAGTTTATAATTTCTGGGTCTTTCCTTTTTTTCAAGAATCTAGGTTGTTCGCAGTTTTGCGAGTTCTTAGACAATTGTTTGAGATTCCGTACATAGCGAAGTTTTGAAATGCCATGCATTAGAAGTTTTCGAGAAGCTTGGACTTGGAAATATTTGTTTATACAAAGATAGTATATATATGTGAATGATTAGCTGTTTTTTTTTTCGAACGGTTAGGGTATGCATTTGGAAACGTGAAAATTGAATAAATGCTGACGTCGAATGTCGAAAAATTAATCCAAATTTCGGCCTTATGCCTTTCACCAAAAATAAATTTAAACCGCTAGCCCTACCTTAGCAAGCATTTAAAATCCTTCCAAAGATTTGCAAGAATTACACGATTACAACTTCGATCGGCGCATGCTTACCTTAACTACGCAGTCCTCTGATCCGGAAGCGATCACATTGTCATTGTGCGGACACCATGAAATATCTAGAACAGGTCCTTTGTGTCCTCCTACCAACGCATGGTCAGCTGCAATACGTCCGACCTAGAAGAATACAATGAGAAAATTCCATTATCGCTCAGCTCATATCAATCATCTTTGTTTGTGGTTTCGATCACTCGTCGCTTTCACCCACGCGGCGGTCGCTCTTCGTGTCCCCCTACATCTCAATCAATAATTTTCCACCTACGTTCACTACCTTCCAAGGGAAAAATATGGGAGGAAATATTTCGGGCAAATAAGCCAGCTATTAATAGTTTTGCGCACGAGCACCGTCAGATCGTGCCGAACAGAACGGCGTCGAGGGTCATGTTCACTAACCTACATCGCTTTCCCATCAGCGTTTTTCCACGAAGGCAAACCCGAGGGAAACTCTTAACGTTGCGTTCTTGACGCGAGTTTCCACGATTGACCTTAAAGTTTGACAACATGCGCGGGCGTATTTTCTTCGCTTTTGACGTTTTATCGTTTTGCTTGGGCGACTTTGAACCTGCTCGAGTCTCCAACTGGCGGTCCACCAGCGTATGGCACGATCATCGAAAATCACACGGAGAGACCTTTCTTCTCTTTATGGATTTATAAATGTTTGGCGCACCGAAAATAGATTCCACAGCCGCATCCCTTCGCTCGGGAGGTATTTATTTTACAAGCAGCTCGTATACGAGCGGAAACGCAAACGTTGATTTTCCTCACAATTTTCGCATTCTACCAAAAAAGACGACGATTCTTGTTTATTGACCAAAAATAAGTCGTTGAGGTTAAGATGTACTGAACGAGGTGGGTGGTAAAGATGGTGGCAGCTGGGAAGATACTTCGCGAAGCGCGAGAAACGTGACAGTTGCAATTTGGCTATAGCAGTCGGCAGCCGGAGGTGATGCATGCGATTTTATTAGAAGTATGAGAAATATTTGGGCCAAAGTCAAAAATCTGATCATTCATTTTAAATTTAGAGTGACATTAAGGGTGTGAATTATTGTACGTTTAAGACAGAAATAAGTGAGTTGTATCAATGAATCAAATGTATATCTTTCTTGGTTTCAATTACTTACGTTCTTGAGATAATGGATATTGATCAGGGTTGTTATCGACGGTTATCCATTAACAGCCCTGATCAAGATCCTTCGATACAGTTACAATACACAACAAAACAATACCATCCATCTCCCACTGTCCGACAGTGCTTTTATGAAAGAAACTTGTCTGCATCAATGTAACATTTTGATAGATGCGAAAAATTTGAATTCTGGAGATGTAAGGTGATAGCTCTATAGCTATTGTAGATCCAGCGACATATTTTAAAATGACTGCTTATACGCATGCCCATTAAACCCATTTTTATACACAACATGCCGCGCATACATACATTTGCGTTTATCAATTGAATATACAAAAAAACATAAAATGATCCATCAATTCATCACCAGTCACCACGTGTTGGTCGTTCTATGTTTTCTCTGGAAAAATGATAATTATTCATCGAGGGTTTCACGATACCGTGTTGTTAAGACCCTAGCGTTCGATTATCTCATTACGCTTTTGCACCTTCGTTAAGCTGTAACTTTTTTGGAAGTCCCTTACGCAGTCATCATAACCAAAATTTTCCAATAACGATTGGAGCAGTTTCAGGCAAAAAGTGATAAAAAATTGAAGTTTTGAATCGACCTTCTCTGATTTAGATTAGGTCATTTTGGGTCTTGTAAAATTTTCAATATGACTTTCTTGAAAATTTTCTAACTATTTTAATTGTGACAATTGTGGCAACGGAATGTCTCATCAAAATTACGTCTGAGACAAAGTTGTAGAGAAAAATCTTGTCTTTCTGAAAAAAATATGCAAAAAATATACCAATATATATATAAAAAACCAAATAAATATACCAGATTTTAAAAATACTTTATTAAAAAAAAAAAACTTAAAATTATTACTTTTTTAATGTTTAAAACCATAGGCAGATGAAAAGTGACAAGAACTGTTGGTCAAGTTTTTAAACTTTTGTTAGTAAGTTTTTTTTTGTATTTTTTTACAGATAATAATTTAAAAATGTCTCAAACATTTTTTTCTGAGTATAAATTGCATAAAACAACGTTTTAACAAAAAGCTGAAAAATTTGACCAAATGTTCTTGTGCTACGATTTTTGCTAATTTTAAAAATTGGTGTACATAATTTTAAACATTCCAAAAGTTTGTATTTTCTATGAGTTTTTCTCTAAAAGAACAATTTAACAAATTGGACTAAGGCATTTTGATATTTAGGTTTTCATTTTTTTTTTTTAATTTCTACTGGAAATTACTTAATTTTTGTTTGTATATTTCTTCCAAAAAAACATTATTTATCTCAACAACTTTGTCTCAGACGTTATTTAGATCAGAAGAGCCGTTTCCATGCTAAATTTTTTTTAGTGTCAAAGACGCCATTTTGAAAATTTTACAAGATCCAAAATGGTTGAAATTTAGCAAAAATGTGAATCGTTGCCCATAACAAACAATTATGCAAAGTTTCATGCAAATTGGAGAAGGTTAAGTTTTTCCGAATCGTCATTTGCCGTCAAACTGCTCATTGCCAACTGTCTTTGTAAACTCCAAATCGATAAATCGGAAATAGTCAAGTTGTCTGTACTAGAGATGGGCAATCCGTTCACGAACAATTCTAAAGAATAAGTTCTTCTTAATGAACAAATGTTCTTTTGGAACGAATAAAGCAAAAGGAATGAACGGGTCGAAGAACATGAACTACCTACATTGAAGAACTAATACGGTAAAACTAGTACGAGAATGAACTTGTAAGAGAACCATACGGAAGGGAACACAACGGCCAAGAGGAGACTATAAGGTGATCTCACTCGTATCAATTTCAGCCGTTTTGAAATCTCTGAGCTATTTTCTGAGTTCCCCCGAGATTTATTTACAAACATTTCTAGAAACTGCATGAACACATAAGCATATTAGATGCACACTAAAATATTTTCAACTAATGAAGAACATAATTTCACAAACGATTCTAAAAACCACGATGCTATCGATTCGAAAAAAAATCTAGGCTAACCACGTTGCTGTTTCATACAAATTGTTGACTGCCAATGACATAAACAAACAACTGAGTACCAGTTCTCAGAGTTTTCCTCCCTGCGCTGCTTAACGCTCGTTTTCTCTACAAACTGACGAAGTGAGATTACCTTACAGTAGTAATCTTGGTTGCATACGCGTAGGTACACTCAGAATTTTTTCACTCAGATCTTACATGAAAACATATATAGATTTTTTCCATCTAGTTTTTCACGTAAATTTCACGTTTTTCATATGTGGATTGGTTTGAAAGTACTAATATCAATTCACATACAACTCTAATAGGTAGTATAGGATTTGGAAATAAATTTCACTTTATTTTCATGTAGCATCTAAGTGAAAATTACTCAAAGTGAAAAGATCTTTGCCCAATTCACTAGAAAACAACATAGATTTTATGGTACTTTCTAAGTAAACTTTATTATGTTTCCATTGTTAGGAATTTTAAAATTATGTTTAAAGATTATAAAAATTGTATTGTTCAGAAAGCTGATAATATATTCCTATTAAAAACTACCATAAACGAACGATAACTCAAATAATAGAACTATTACACAAATGGTTTGGATGATTCCCAAACACGTCGTTAAGCAAAATAACCAAAACAATTTTATTAGGGATGTCTTATGTGTTCCAGCAACTTCCGGCCAGCTGCACTTCCTCTGCCAATCTTTGGGGTGAGCTCATTCCTCGTTCTAAAAACATACCATAAATAAATGGTGCATCATGACAAAAATAAAACATCATACTTATCAGAAAATTCAACAAATTCAATGGTATTTGTGAATGCAGCAACAACTCGTCAGCAATGCACCGTTTGGATGCCATGTTAGGTTTTGTTAGTGCCATCACCACTCAGAAATTTTCACACTATAAATTCATGTAGAATCTAAGCGAAGACAACATATAAAGATTGATTTGAAGTCGTTGATCTAAGTGAAATTATCTTACATGAAATTCATTTGAATCTTATATATATTCATCTAAGTTTCAAAGCGTATATTGCTTTTAATACGATTTGTAATAAATTTTATTAACGTCATGTACTTTACAGACAATTTTTAATATCTGAAGGCTACGTGTTTTTTCCAGTCAAATTTTTGTGACAAATTTTTTGAATGTACATACGGCGAAGCGAGGTGTTGATCGTTCATCAAGGACCGGTAGATTAATTGTTTTTTTTTACAGATTTCTGAAAAGCAATTTAAAACAACATATGAACATAGGAATTCTGCGAAGAATTAAAGGGGAAGATTCCCAGAAAATTCTGAGATCATATCCAAGAGAGTTCTGAGGAGAATTTCAAAGAAATTTAAAAAAAAAGCTGAAGAGAATTCTGGAAAATTCTGATGATAGTTCAGAAATTCAGAGCAAACTTCAAACGCAGCTCTGAAGAGAATTTCAAGAGAATTTCCAAAAAATGTTCTAAGTCAATTCTGCCTAGTTTACCAAGAAAATTCAATTGAATTTTCTTCGAGAACTCAATAGAGATTTAAAAATGTTGAAGGCAAATTGTTAAATGAATACCATGCGATTCCGTTTGTAATTTGAAGGTATTATCAAAAGAGAATTACATTTTCTCTAGGGCAGTGGTTTGCAGACTGTGCTTTGCGGAGCACTTTAATAATTCTTCGTGGTGTTACTCTTAAACTTGATATATGGTAAAATTGAATTAAAATTGCAACCAATAGCATATTATGGAGCTGGTTTTCATTGGTTTTCAGGTTGTGTAAACATCTAATCTAATCTAACACCAACACAGCCAGTTCATGAAAGCATCCTAAATATACCTCCATCATTTTTCTTGTCTATTTGGTATATGTTGCAGAGATGTGCAAAATATATCAAAACGGGCAGGCCTACTGTGCAGCATTTAAGGGGCAAGATGATTCACAAACATCGGGCTTGTTTAAGTCAAAGATTTAAACACAATGCTTCAGAATCCAATAAATGTATGAAACGTGGACATCTCGTACCGTACG